AAACAAAGAACTGACTAGCCCCACCATGGGCTGTGGTCCTAAGCTGTCATGACACTGTTTAGCTGTGGCCTCTGCTCTCCTCACCCACTCCGCTGATTAAGAGGTCACCTTCCTCCCATCAGCCTCAGCCAGTGTCACTGAGACCACCTGGATCCCAGGGACATTCAGACTGAAGGCAAAGGAAAAAGAAAATAGGGTCGCCTACCTCCATCAGGAGAATGTCCTTCGAGCTCTGTGCCTGCACCTTCGGGTGCTGGACCTTTACGGCCACCGTCCGCCCGTCACGCAGCACTGCCTTGTGGACCTGGGCCAGGGAGGCTGCTCCCAGAGGGGTGTCATCGAAGCTCAGAAATAAATCGTGGAGCTGTCAGGAGTGGAGAGAAAACAGAATAACTGAGAAGATAACTCTTCACTAGTTAGTGAGAAGAGGCCAGGAAGATGGGCTTCCTCTGCTCCATGACAGATTCTTTTGCTTTTTACCAGGTGTGTATCAATCCAGGGTCTTGGCTGGCCCCTTTGCTATGGTGGAGAGTCACTCCAGGCAAATGGGGAGCTGGGATGGACACACACACAGGAAATGCATCCCCACATGTGTATACAGGGCCCTGGGCATCCCCATCAAAAGGCAGAGAAATGCTGTCCAGAACATTCAGAACGGTTTATCACACACCCATTTAATCACCCACCATCCTCTCCTGGACTCTCACATGTAGATACAGTAGTACTCCAAACTTGTTGTTAATTGGCTCTGAGAGGTACAAGGAGCACCAAAAATGAAGGATATCAAATTGCTTTCTGGAAATGGTAACTAGTCATGAGACAACTGACACCAGTTAAGTTCTAACTTAGGTGTCAAGTACCATACAAACCAAGCAAACGGTATTAGGACAGAATCTTCACATCAAAATGTGTCCAGCACCAAATCAGATGAGTTTCAAAGCAGCCAAATACCAAGGCATGATTGTTATTAAAAGTGAATCCGACTGGGTCCTCAGCAGCCCACAAGACCTAGTAGAAGACATTCAAACTCTACCAGCCAAGAGCGCTCAAGAACCCTGAGCCAGACCATCCAAACCCAACCTCATTCCTGCCTGAGCAGCACCTGCATACAGGCTCCTGAAAGCACTCCCAGCCTGGCCACCCTGGAAGAGACCCCACGGCTGCCAGCCAGAGATCTCCTTACTTTCTGTGCCTCCTTTCTCCCTCTGTGAAGTAGAAAATGCATCAATTCTTTCCTTCCTTCCTTTCTTCCTCCTTCTCTCCCTCCTTGTCTCTTAGAAATGCCACACCAATTTTGCTGAAGGGAAAATCTTTTCTGACTACAGTACTCAAAACTACATAATCTTAGTATGAATATTCTATAGGATGGGAGGAGCTCAGCTAATTTCTTGGTGTCAAAAACCACTGCTCTTGGCCCTGAGCTTGGGACGAGAGGACACCAGGACCACTTTCCCATAAACTCCACGAGAGCATCAGCTGGAAAGGAGCTGGAATTTCTGTCTATTCTGTTCACTGCTGATAATCCCTAAACCTAGAGTAGGTCTGGAGCTAGCAAGCATCAAGCAGGTATTTGTTGGTATTCTCTCAGCTGGAGAACTAAATCAACTTTCTCTTCCCTGTGGAAACCTTCTTGGAGGATCATCACAGAGAGAGCCACGAACTCAGACCCTCAGCCCCAAGCAGCCAGCAATGGGGGTGCTTCCTGCAGCAAAGAACCTCGGGTCCTCTTATCTCATTCTCTACCCTAAGTCTCTGCCTGGCCCCAGAAACATCTGCTCAGTGTTTGAGAAGGACAATCAGTCTTCAAACCTGTGTCCTTTCGGGGACACTGCTGAGTCACTGCAACCAGAGACTGACACGGCATCCATCGCTAGGACTGTGACAAGAACAGCTGCCAAGAGCACCCCACAGGGAAGTGGAAGAAGGAAAGAGCTGAGGCAAGCAGATCTGAGTCTCCAGAATGAGAGGAAGCCAAGCTTGCCATATCTCCCGGGAACAGGAAAGGGCCCTCCCACAATTTCCTGCCCCCAGCAAGGGTTCAAACAGACCCCAAGATACCACTCAGCTGCCAAGTCAGCACCCTGAGACAGGCCCAGCTGTGAGGATCTGCCCACATTCCCAATTTTACCAGTGGAAGCAAAGAGAAACATGGCAAATAGGATGCGCCATTCCCTGTGCACAGGACACCTGTCAGGCATCTGTCAGTGCATCCCCCACCGCAGCACCCCACAGTGTCCCTGCAGCCATCGTTTCCCTGGCTAGGTGGAAGCAAGTCCCACGCCCACACCCTCATGGGCTTACGCAAGCACACACACATACACACACAATAATTGATTGCTAGTGGATGTTCCTAGCTGGCTTATAAAAAAGGTAATTAAAGATCGGTGCTGCAGTCTGTAATTAAATATGAATAAAGTATCTCTAAATGGAACCTTGATTCAAAGTGTTCAGTGGAAGTACTTTATGCTGATAAATAGTAAGGAAAAATAGACCCTGTCCCAAAAGCAGAATTATACCCCCCATACAGCTGAAACAAATGCCATCCCCCTCCAATCAGTGAGGATGTGCCTGTCCCCAGCCCTTTCAGCAGAAAACCATTAGCAGAAACAAATGGCAGCATTTGCAGCAATTAGGTTCAAGCAGGGCCTTCAGCTGCCTCCAGTCGCTCTCTCGGAAGCTCGGCTCCCTTTCTAAGACTTTCTTTCCCCCATTCTTTCTTCTTAGTCTGGCGGCAAAATCAATTAAGTAAAACAACTGCATTTTAAAATGACTAGTTATGTGCTTTTTAATTACTGTCAGCCCATGATTCAAATATATCGATGCCCCTGCCTGGAAAAGAAGAAATTATCAGGAAAAAAGTGTACCTAGCTTCACATGGCTTAAGGTGTGCCTGCATGTATGTGCATGTGCATGTGCATGCACATGCATGTGTGTGCATGTGCATATGTGTGTGTACATGCACTTAAAGGGAAAGAGGGTCTTTTCCATTTATTTATTTATTTATTTATTTGGTGCAGGGTCTCACGGTGCAGCTCAGACTCACAGTAATCTCCTATCTCAGCCTCCCCATCGCTGGGATTACAGGTGTGTGCCACCATGCCCAGTCTTGGTGAATCGAACCCAGGTCCTTGTGCTTTCCAGGCAGGTGCTTAGACCAATGAGCTATCTCCCCAGCCACAAAGAGATCTTTTATGAGGAAAAAAAATCAGAGAAGCAGGAAGGATGTGTCCACCCTTGGGATCCTGGCAGGCTAGGGGATATTAACTCTTCAACTGTCTGGTTTAGCTGAGGCCTGGGAATCCTGGGACTAATGGTATTATATCTGAATCCCAGGCAGAGTGAGAGTTTCCCCACAAAATCAGCCACACAGATTCCACAACACCAGGTTACTGGGTGATATTTCCCAAACACACATTGACCAGTTAGCCACTGGCTAAGGGCTTCATGTGGCCCAAAATAAGATCACAGAAAGTTCTTCTGCTTTGGGGTCTTAGCCAGCCCCACCCAAGCCAACAACCTAGCCAGCATGATGCACCCTCACGGAGACTGGCTCATCAGTCCCAAACCTAAAGATGGCTAAGGCTTTCTACCAGGTCCCAACTGCAAATATTTCATTCTGTTTTTCCCATACTCATCCACATCAGACCAATTTTAACTTCAGAAGTTTCACTATCATATGGATAATACATCTTACAAATCCTGGCCACCTGGCTCCAGATGAGGCCAGGAGACTGCCTTGAAGCAAGCAATCATAGGCCTAAAGGGCAAGGCCAGGCAGCCCTATGTAAGAGCTGCAAAGACTACCCAGGGCACCTGAGCAGGTAACCATGGCATCAGTGGCAAAAAACATCTGGCTCTCATGCCTGGTTGGGTACCAGCTGCCATCCACTGCAGGCTGGTGGGACTAGTGTCACCTATACTGATGGAATGCCTGGAGTGACCCTTATCTACCTAAGGCAGTCAGGATGGCTCTTGCTAGCAGAAGTTTTATAAACACCCATGTCTATGTCTTTCTTGGACAGAAAACCCACCACCACCTCTCTGTCTCTCCACTGAGAGTCCATCCCCTCCACAGGACATGATTTCCCACGGCCCCAACATTTTATAGTCACCCTACCTGTTTGTTGCAATTCCAGCCTCTCCCCTTGTAGCCCACATCTTCAGGGTCATTTCTGTATCTTTGAAGATGACACCTGATAGTGACAGCAAATAGTTGGAAATGTACTCTTACTCTCCACAGTGGTTTTAAAATATGGCCACAAGTTTTTAAATACCTCCTTTGCAAAGTAGTCCCCTCCCACTGAAAGAAACCTAGAATGAATGACCCAGCCCCCAAAGGGTAGCATGTAGAGGAGGGAGGAGCAGGTGACCTCCATGGCTGTGACAGGAGGCAGAACAATGTCTTCTCTGAAACAGGCAGCAGGGGCCAGGGAGATGGCTCAGTGGAATAAACACTTCCCCAGCAAGCGCAAGGGGCTGAGTTCAATCCCCGGTTCTGCCAAAAAAAATGAAACAGGCAGCAGTGAGGTCCACAAGGTAAGGAACAGTGGCTTCCTGCCCCAGCAGACTCTCCAGCCCCAGACAGGGTCCCAAAGATGACAGCCCTAGCCAACATCCTGACACAGCCTCCCTCATAAGAGCCCCTGAGTGTACAGGGTAATGTTAAGCATCAGCTTGACCAGGAACACCTAGAGAATGAGCGACACACTGCTTCTGGGTATGCCTATCAGGGGTTTCCAGAAGAGACAGTCCCTGAGGGAGCGGACTGGGTGAGGCAGACCTGCCCTCAGACTGGGTGACTACAATGCATTCAGCTAGGGGCTCACACAGAAGAAGATTTCCTTTCTCTCCTGGAGTTGGAACACTGTCCTCCTCCTTCTCTGGACATCAGAACTCCAGGCTGTCTGGTGATAGACTCCAGACTTACCCAGGGGCCCTTCAGGCTCTCAAGGCCTTTGGCTGTAGATGGAAAATGGCACAATTGGCTTCTCCAGCTCTGAGGCTTTCAGACTTAGGCCAAGACCTGCTACCAGAAAGCCAGAGTCTCCAGCTACAGATGGCCCATGGAGGGAGCTCTGGGCTTCCATAATCACATGGTCCAATTCTCCAACTAAATCCTCTCTCATGTATCTTTATCTACGTCCTTCTGGTTCTGTCTCTTTGGAACCTTGACTACTACATTAAGCCATGCAGTAAGCCTCTCCCAAATCCCTGACCTACAAAAATTGTGAGATTAAAAAACATTGGGTATCTTTTTAATCAAAACATTTATTATTTATATCACAGGTAGGGAAAGTGCAATGAAGAACCACATAGAGGCTGGCTGTGGTGATGCACACCTGTAATCCCAGCACCTAGGAGGCT